CCGCCGCCACCGCCGCCGCCACCGCCGCCGCCACCGCCGCCGCCACCACTGCCAGCTCCTTCTGACCCTCTGCTGCTGCAACCGCAGCAGCGATCCACGCAGCGCCCCTACCAACGCCGCTAAACTCGGTACGTTGTTCTGGTCGACTTACCTTATTTTATGACCAATGGTGTCGGTTAACTAATGACCCGACCGTTTCATCGTGGGTACAAGGCTTATAGTATTCCATTTAAAAAGCCAGTCGTACAAAAATATATCCCACATCAACCTAAATTATCGACAGTTGAAAGTATACACTATACAATAGCTATAAATGAATTATTGGAGTCTGGTGCTATTTCAAAGTGTGAAACTGATGGAATACAAATTATACACCAATTCAGGATATAAAATATACTTTTAGCAGAGCTGACATAACAAGAAAATTACTCCTGGATGACTTGCTCCAGCAGCTCACCAACAAATAAATGGTGCTTACAATAACGTAAAGCTTTCGTAAGTACATCAGCTATCATTTGTTCCGTCGGCATATACCTTAACTCCAAGTCTTCGTTATGAACAGCCTCTTGGACATAGTGATATCTGTTATCCACGTGCTTGGTGCGCTTGTGAAACACAGGGTTAGTGACAAGTTTGGCTGCAGACTGATTGTCACTGTACAGAATCACAGTATCAGTTTGTCCCGTCAACTCAACAAGTACTGCACGAACGCACACCGCTTCTTTAGCTGCTTCTGACAAAGCAATGTACTCCGCCTCGGTGGACGAAAGTGCGATACAAGATTGCTTATAACAACCCCAGGAAATGACATTCCTACCTAATTTATAAACAAACCCCGTATATGACTTACGATCAGTCCCGTTAGCCCACTCCGCGTCAGTATATCCATACAAGCAATATTATTCACAGATAATACTTTTTCTGTAACTTACTCACTTCTCCTCACTCACGTAACATCTCTGACATCACTTAGGTAACGCAATACACGCTTAGCCGCGGTAAAATGTTCCGCTGTATACCGCGTATTATACTGACTAAGGAAACTAGCGGCAAATGAAATATCAGGTCGAGTGGTTGTACTGAAGGGTCCCAAAAATCAAACTCACAACTGAATTTCACAACTGTATTTAACCACTC